CCATCTGCCCCATGCCTAGATCCATCTCTGTCTGTCCTTCTGTCCATCTGCCCCATGCCTAGATCCATCTCTGTCTGTCCTGTTCTCCTACCCCTCTCCACTATATTCAGCCCTATCTGTCTTTATACCCTATCCCTAGATCCATCTCTGTCTACCCATTCATCCCTACCCCTACATCCATCTCATCTATCTTTTTATCTATGTACCCATCCATCCCATCCCAAAAATAATATCCATCCATCTATCCATCCATCCATCCATCCATCCATCCATCCATCTATCTATATAGATCTAGGGGTGGAGGATGTATGGATGCATAGATAGAGGTGGATGTGTCATATCAGGTCAGTGAAAAGTATTCTGTTTCCATAAAACAAATATTTCATTTCAATACTGACGCTTCTTAATAATATAAAATTAAATAAGTCTGGAAATGCAAAATCAAATCATTCCCTTTTGACCCTATCAAAACGCTTTCTCTCCCGCATTTTTAAAATAATTGTCATCCCTTCAATGAGACGGCTTTTCCCAAGAGAAATATGTTCCATCAGGAAAAATTCTGACCCCCTCTAGTTTGAAGCACAAATTGTATAAAGTGGAGGCACGTGTCTGTGGTGTATTTAAAACGGTTAAAATGACAAACTGCCACTTTAATTTGTAAGGGGGTTTCCTGGTCCTTGTAAGGGGGAAGCCGTTCCATACCCCTAATCGTATTTGTTGCCCTTCTCTGTACCTTTTGCAATTCTAATGTATCTGTTTTTGATTTGAGGGGACCAAAACTGCACGCAGCATTCAAGGTGTGGGCGTACCCTGGATTTATATAGAGGCAATAGGATATTTTGTGTCTTATTATCTCTCCCTTTCCTAATGGACGCTAACAGTCTGGTGACTTTTTTCACTGTCGCTGCACATTGAGTGGATGTTTGCAGAGAACTATCCACAACAACTCCAAGGTCTCTCTTGAGTGGTAGCAGCTAATTTAGACCCCACCATTTTGTGTGTCTAGTTGGGATTCTGTTTTCCAATGTTCATGACTTTGCATTTACCAACAGTGAGTTTCATCGGCCATTTTGTTGCCCAGTCACCCAGGTTAGTGAGATTGCTTTGTAATTCCTCGCAGTCTGCTTTGGACGTAACTGTCCTGAGTGATTTTACGTCTAACGTCTCTGTGAGCATCTGCCGTGCACATAGCAGTGCTGATGTGGGGTATCTGTTGGAGGGGGAAGTGAAAGTCCTGTGCAGTGTGTTATCGACAGTGTTGTGAGCAGTAGCAAGGTGGACAGGAACACACAATTCTTTCCCCTTAGCTTCTTATCTCTGTGCTGCTAAGGTTCGGGCGGCTGGGGCGTGTCTCGATACCACTCGTCGTAGTTTTCCTTCGCTGCTATAATGTTTATTGCCCTGGTTCACGAAGGTCTCACAGTCCTTCAGAGCCCCGCTGTCCTCCGAGCATCCCCTGGCGAGACCATGACACTCAACTGCTCCTTCGAGAACAGACAGGGCAGCAGGGTCAAAGCGACCTGGACAAGAGCGCCTGGAGTCGTGCTGGATTCTGCCCATCCCTTCTACAGTGGACGACTCAATGTGTCCCACCTGGATCTGCTCCAGAAAGGGGAGGCCACGCTGACCCTGTCGGAGCTGGAGCAGCGGGACTCTGGTCTCTATCAGTGTCAGATCGAGTTCTACCAGGGAGAGAGTGGGACGGGAGCAGGCACCAAGCTGCGGGTGACGGGGAGAAACCAGAGTGACACAGGTGAGGTGGGGAATGGGGGCACGGGGCCTTCCCCCTCTCCAGCCCCAGGGCAGGGGACTGGCTGGCTCAAGGGGCTAAGAATCCCCTAACACTCCTCTCCATCGCCCAGATAAAGTATCAGCCCTCGCGGGGTGCTGTGCCTGGGAGCTCCTGTACCAGGTTGCCATCGCCCTGGGGCTCCTTCTCATCATTGGCCTGGCGGCCACCCTCCTCCTGAAGAGACGCCAAGGTACCGAACCGGAGCCTTCCCCCCGCTGACCTCCTGGGACCCATGGGCCAGGGCCTCTGTTACTGAACACACCCGAGTGGCCGTCTGTCCGCTGTGGTCCATGCTGGGCTGTCTGTCCATATATCTATCCCCCCCATCCTTCCTTCTCCCTCCTTCTTCCCCCATCCCTAAATCTCTGCAGCTTCCCTCTTCACCCCAGACTCTCTCTCACACTCCTCTGTTTTAACGTTCCTTTCTTCTCCCTTCTTCCGCAGCGCCGCCCCACTCGCAGCCCCGCCGACGGCAGCCGAAGGTGAGACAATGCAGGCTGGGCTCGGTTCCAGCCAGTACTTGGGTCTGGTCTCCAGATGCCAATAAGGACTGGTACAATACAGTGAGGGGAGAGAACCCAGGAGTCCTGGCTTCCAGCCCCCCTGCTCTAATCCACCAGCCCCCGCTCCCGTCCCAGAGCTGGGATAGAACCCAGGAGTCCTGGCTCCCAACCCCTCCAATCTGGGGTAACACTGTGGGATTTGCTCCCTGGGAGCTGCCTAAAATGGCCAGAATTAAGAGACCGGATCTGGGGTGACGGCGTCCTCACTATGTGTCTGTCCAACACAGGGCCAGGGCAGCCGGGAGGCCGTGGAGAGCGAGAGCCTGCACTACGCAGAGATTAAAACCCAGACCCCAGGACGCAGGGAACACACGTCCAACCACGCCCAGCGACGCTGAGTCCCTCCGCACCCAGCACTACATTAGTCCCTCACACTCAGAGCCACGCAGCCACGAGGGAATTCCCCACAGGAGGAGACCCTCACAGGGTTTGAGGGACAGCAGAAGAAAACTATCGGTGTGAAGGTCTATGTGAATCTGAACAAAACCCAACTAGCCCTCTCTACGGCAGGGAATAATCTACTAGGGCATGGTCTTACCCTCAGGAAATGCCTTCTCCGGGGCCTCCTGAAGTATAACTATATCATGTCCCAGTGCGTTATTTCCCTGTCCTCTCTGGAGTGATTGCAATGCCTCCCTATGGAGCATGACCAGGTGGGGGTAATTAACGCAGTGTCTGGTCCCTCTTCCTAACTGAGCACGAGGAGAAACGCTAGCCCACCTCAGCATCGTGTGGGCGGTGGAATCGGTCTGAGTGACCAACGTGACAGCTCCAGCAGGCTGGAGTTGCTCAAAGAAAGTTTTTTTTTTGTTCTAAAAATTAAATAATTTCTTTGTGAGAAAAATTGTCTGTTTTCAGACTTTTTTATAAAAATGTGTTTGGGTAAAACCTTTTGCTTTTCTCCATCATTTCCCTCTTCTCTTCAGTTCCCTTGTCATGTTCCAAAATCTTACAATCATTTTTTTAAATTTGCTTTTCAAAAAATCAATATTTTTCCCCATAAATTTTTTTTTCCTGAAAATTTGATTTTTTGTTTTAGAACATCATTTTTTCCCAATGAAAATGTGTCATTTTATCCCTGAAAACTGGGACATTCCACCCCCACTAAAAACAATTTTTTTTTCATGAAAATTTTTTCTCCCCTGAAAATTGGAATTTTGTCCCCCATGAAAATGTTATTTTTTTAAAATGATGAATGCAGGAAGAAGGGGAAGAGAGAGAAAAAGAAGGAACTAAATAAAAATTACCTATGGACTCCAACTTGTCAAAGAAGGCTTGAAATTGTATAAAAGATCCTTGGGTCCCAATCCTTGTTATCTCAGATCTGCTTAAACCAGAAGGGGTTCCTAGACTTAAGGTGGCATCATGGGGAGATTTGGAGACCAGGCAGCGGTGGGTAAAGACTATAGGGCACAGGCAGAGATGTGGGGTGCAGTGGAAGGAGCCCAAGGGATGCCCCAACCCTTCTCCACTCTTCCATGGATCAGCCATGTATCAGAGCCGGAGAATCCAGTGCCTTTGGCGTGTGTTAGTGGCTGTGTTGCCCAGTTCCTTCTCTACGTGGCCCACCTTTGAGTCCCCTGCCAGCCCTGGGCACGGTGCTTGGAGGGGGGCACAATGAGGGTGCCCACACTAGGGTATTGAGACTTTCCCAGGTCTTAGGGTCGTAGCTCGAGCTGGTGAGAGTTACATTTTCAGAAGGAAGCCAAGAAAATCTAAACTGAATTGGCCCTTTTTGCTGCCAATAACACCTTGCTGGAGGGTGACACCCATGTGCTTCGTGCTGCACGTACACAGGGAGGGGAGTGGGATCTAGTGGTTAGAGCAGAGGAGAGTGGTACCTCGGACTCCTGGGTTCTCTCCCTAACTCTAGCAGGTTATAGCCCCCCAGAGCCAGCCCACCCCCATCACTGCCTGGATCACAGTCGGGGAAGCTCCCCCCTCTCAGAGTGACCAGCTTAGGCTCTCTGCAGACTCAGGCATGGGTCCCACCCGCCCTGGTTTGGAGAAATTTCTTTGCTCTCGTGAGGGCTAGAAGTATTTTTTGGCTCTGCAAGCTGAGTGCCTGGAGATCGCCTCCGGCTCGTGGGACGGAAACCGTGGTCAGTTGTTTGTGCGTCGCACACGGCCCCGACTCCGACACGTCTGTCATGATTGTAAATCACCCCCCACCCCATCTGCTGCTGCCTTTGCAAAAGCTGTGGCCGTGAACGGTGCTGAATTTCCTGTTTCTCGCCAGGAGCTCAAGTGCAGACAGAGCCCCGAGCCACAGAAACTGCAGCCGTAGCAAAGGGAGAGGCCCCCGGGCGCTACACAGATCCCCTGCAAAATATCGGGGCCCCTGTGGTGCCAGGTGCAGCACAGATCA